CTGATTACTGAAGCACTTCTTGGCGAAAAGTCCTGCTATTTCAACGTAGAGGTATTGGACTAGTTAGTGCAAACAGGCTTATAAACAAATCGTGATGACGACAAATTAGGCGCTAACCCATGTGGGATGGGGTTCAAATGATATTGGAGCATGCCTAGTCGGTAGACTACCGGACCTTAGTTAAGGGGTAGTCAACAGCGGTTTCGTATTTCTTCTAGATATTATCAGGGCAGTACCTACATATTGACGATGGCTGTAGACTTCCAGTACGCGTCGAAGTGGATACYGTCGGCATCAATGCTGATTGTGCATCGTTTTCCACAGAGGTAGGCCATTACGATCTTTCTTGATTCAGTTTATTCATTTATTTCTTTACTTAWGGTTGATGGGGCCCCTACTTTATACTTGTTTTGTAACTTTACACTCTAAAAGTAGTGTCATTTCTTTGTGCAAAAAGGTGCGCTTCGAAAGACTAAACCCACAATGGTCGAATACTAAGCACATGTTTAAGGTTGTCATGCCAGATCTGGTAAGWGAACAAATTTTTTCCCAAACAGATTATTATTGCTAGTTACAAACAGCAATTTGAAAGAAAATATGACAGATATTCGTGTTACACGTCTTGAATGTTTTCGGATTTTTTTCTCTTTTCAGTGCCTAGTTTATTTCAAAGTTGTTGTCATTCAAAGGAACAAGAAACCGAAGCTGCTCTTCCAGAATGTAATGCCCCTGGACAGTATGCGTCAAGGTATAAATTCWTGAGCACCCCTCCGCCTGGGGATAATTGTATTATAGCCTTCATCACCCGTCTTTTTTTTCCCATCTTTTTTTTTTCCCAAGGTATCAGATACATTCCACTGAGGACTCCTACAGGGGTACTATTTGCACACAGTGGTCTATTTGTCAAGATAAGAATCCAAGAGTTTGAACAAGCATCATTCAACATCAAAGGGACCTCAAGAGAACGTCTACTCACAATGTAGTTTGACATTGGGGTCATTCGGTTAGAAACAGTGTGAAAAAATTGCAAATTCGAGATAGCAAGGACACATACTAGAATCATCTTAACATCTTGCACAAAGGCTTGGAGCTTGTCAAAGCTAATAAAGCTTTCTTTTTGTCTTTCATTTGTCCATTCCTTGTAAATATTATTTTAACTATTGTCATTTGTCCATTCCTTGTAAATATTATTTTAACTATTGTATTTGAATTGAATGATATACAATAAAGGGAATTAAGTCTGATCATAGTACAAAATGGCAACATATAAGATATTTCACATACAGTACACCTACTTTCCTACTTTGATAATTTACAAAGGAGTAAAGATCTGAATAAAATGAGAGCAGAACCCTTTTCACTTTGTAGAAATAAGGTGCAAAGCATTCAGAATTAGTCAAGGAAGTTTAGTCAAGGAATGATCAAATCTTTTTTTATTTCACTGGTTTCACATCATACAACAAGTGTGTGTTTATGCCCAATCATTTGATGGTTTGCTAGGCTGGTCTTGCATAGTGACAGATGTTCCCCAGTCTCCTTGGTTCTGTAATTCAGTCTCTGCTCCCCAATCACCAGAAGGAGTAACCTTGTCCCAGTCCCCTCCAGATGTAGGGGCTACAAAAGGTTGAGGAGCAGTAGGTGCAGATGTTTCAGCACCCCACTACAAAATAAAACACATTGAGTTGGCTATTGTTTGTTGATTCTGAAGTATTGAAGTCCCAAYACTAAATCTGTGAAACTAATAGTACTAATGTATACTGCTAAATAGTTTTGATTAGACAAAATGTTGAAAAGAATTAGATAAATTTTTATATCTAGTTTGAGCTCTTAACTTAAACAGATTTATTGTGTGAACTATACTTTTAAATAAACAATATACAAGGAGAGGAAAATGGCATATACTTACATCAGTGATTCCACCACTTGCCCAGTCGACCTCAGGTGCAGCAGGTTGGTCTGGAAGTACTCCAGCAGTCACAGCAGCACCACCCCATGATTCACCACCGCCTGTGTACTGCTCCTCATGTTGATGAGCCATAGCAGCAGCTTGTTCTTCCTTCTCAGCCTGTAAAACAATTTTATAAGTATTGTATTTAGCTCAAAAACAAATTGATGCTATAAAAACTAACAAATAAGCGTACCTCTTCCGGATCTCTGTAGAAGTACAGATCTGGCATGATTTCCCATGGCAGCTGTCGGCTAATGCTACCACGCATGCGCAAGACCTCGCGAGCCAAGAGCCAGAACATTAGACCAATGGAGTGGACACCCTTGTTGTTACATGGGATAGCAACATCAACATGGCGAACTGGAGAGTCAGTGTTGCAGAAAGCAATGACAGGGATGTTSACATAGGATGCTTCTGTGATGGACTATATAAGAATAAAAAGGTTTAACATTTTGAGAATGTACTTGCATGATATGTACATGTAAACAAAACAGGTTTTACCTGATGGTCAATCCTTGGGTCACAGACAATCAGGAGACGTGGCTCTCTGAAGGCAGCCTGAATCTGATTGGTGAAAGTACCAGGGGTGAAGCGACCAGCAATRGGSGTAGCTCCAGTATGGGCTGCATACTTAAGAATGGCACGCTGACCATAAGGACGGGCAGAAATGACACAGACGTCAGATGGGTTCTCTATGGCTACAATGATACGAGCAGCCAAGAGAAGCTTTTCATAGGTTTTCTTCAAGTTGATGAGATGGACACCTGGAAAATGAATTAGGAAATGACAATTTTGAAATATATTTCTCACAGCTACTTTTTGTTTGTACGGATACTGTCACCTCTACAACTAAGTGCGTTCTTGTCAAATACAGCAGCAACGTCATCCCTGCACATTACAAGGACCTTTGCTCATTTTTGTTAAAGAACGTCTTTACACGACGTGGGAGAAGGCTGGGATATTATTTTTTACCATCATTTTTTCTTTTGTAAACATAATCTTGCATTTGGAAATTGACATTATTGGCACCCAAGTGGACACCAGCAGTGAGGAACTTGACAACATCTTCTTCCTTCAACTGCAAAACTTCTAGACCTCCAGACATTGTGCTTTGTTATACCTTTTAAAGTTACGACGGACAACCTATAACAAGATGATGCATAAATGACTGATTTTTACTTGTGAAAGTTGGAGATTTGGAACAGAATCACCATGCTCAGTAAGGTCTTACTATCACTATCACTGGACATGTATCAACATTACTATACATAGATAATACAGTTAAATGAGTTCTAGCTATTATAAATATGGTAAATTCTCCTTTACGATAATTTTTCAATTTGTACAATAAGCTTAGTCTTAGACAGTTCACTAAAACGCTTTGAAATAGCAGGTCATTCACGTAGTTTGTTGTAGATTGAAGACGTTTTGGGCAATTTTAATTCAAAAAAATACTTCCAATTGATAGGATAGGGTTTATTTTACTAAAATTTTATATTATTAGACATAATCAAGTATTTATTTTAGTATAAACTGTTCAAATTCTAAGCACTATATGACTTACTCGCCAACGACACGAAGGTCAAAGGGAAAGAGAACGAGAGGAAAGCACGTGGGTTTTAGGGGGCGTCCTTCACAAAAAACAGGGCTTCACAAAGTCTTCCTCAGGGGGGAGGGGTAGCATTGAAAACAAAATAATCTCTTAGAATTTAGTACAATAGCTTTTTTATTAAAAAATATATTTTTTTGAAAGAGATTACTAATATTTATTTCAAATTAGTAATACATTGYACTAGTATTGAAATACTATGTTTCTACAATATTATTAAATTTTGTCTTACTTAGCCAGCTATGGAGGGGATAGATTTGTACTCTTCCCCAGTTCTTCGCTTACAAAAAATCTCAAGATGGCGGCCGAACTGGCCTGATATTCTAGGTGTTCTTGTGTATGTTTTGGTTCGTTGCTCTAGGTAGCAAAACGCTTGAGCATACTTGATTTATTTCTAAGTCAAGATGGCGGCAGCTATTCGTGTTTTTCGACTTGTAAGAAATCGACGTTCTCCGCTACGTGAGCTTCTCTGTATTGCACAAGGGAATCGTTGTGCCTTCCCTTTCTCGATATCTCGTTGCTTGTCTTCACCTAGAGTATCTCCAAAAGCTGTTGAARAGAAYCCTAACACGATGAMCTCAGTACAGGTTGATGATCCCAAAACAAAGATTGTTGATTTGGGTGAAAAACCTATTCAATCTAAACGTCTCTTACCTGTTGCTCCTTCAAACTATGTTGGAATCTTCGAACGTGCCCTGGAGGATGGAAAATCCCGTGAAAATTTTATTAGTGTACTGAAGAACTTTAACAAAACTAATCGTCCACGAAGGGGACACATGGAACTCATTCGCGTTTCAATGGATTTCATGGATAAGTTTGACTTGGAGGGAGATCTTGAGGCATACAACGCAATGTTGGACGTTTTCCCAAGAGGGAGGTTTGAAAATCGGACTCTTTTTGATGCAATATGGCCAAAGAAGCATCCTCAAGTGGATCTTGCTTTGGAGATTTTGACTAAAATGGAAGAAAATGTGGTAAAACCAAGCTTACAGACTTATGATTTGTGCGAGGAAATTTTTGGTAGAGCTAGCCAGCCTTTGCAGAAGTGTAGAAGGCTTGCTTATTGGCTGACAAAATTGGAACAAATGTTCCCAAACCCTCTGCCGAAGACTCTACCTGAAAATGAAATTGAGCTGAGTCAACTAGCCATTGCAAGAATGGCAAAGGACACGATACCAATTATAACATATCAGGTATAAACAGACTGGGAAAGTTAGGTGGGACAGAGTTGGGGAGGAGGGTTGAAAAGCTATATGAGGCCATCTGAGGGGTTTGGGGCACTAGCAATAAGGTTCCAAGATTACAGCATATCAAAAGATGAACGAGAGAGGGAGGAAAAAGAATCGGGATAAAACAACAGTGATATTTGTCTCTAGCCAAGTAGCGGACAAGTGGGTTGGAAATGATCTATAAAGGGACATCAGAATCCCATGGAAGGCCTTCATTGTAGTATGAATATAACATGCTACAATTTAATAAAAGCAAATCAAAATATTGCAAGACACAGCACATGTATTTTTATTATGTTAAAACTTCTGCCAGGTTCCATGGTGGATATARAATACTTTGCCTCTGCCTTACATTTAGATGTATAATCAAGATGTTTACAAAAAGACACAGTACATTTYCTATGTTTGGATTTTGTTTGATTCAGTGAAAATACTGTGATCATTTGTAACTGGAGCATCAATCTTAGTATTCTATTCTATTCTAGGAGGACGTCAGCAAAAAGGGAATCAATTTTATTGTTGGTTCACAAACCATGGAGCAAAAGACAATTCTTGAAAACTATGATATAGAAATCCCAGTTTACATTGAAGGTCCATACTTGATGTGGATTAGACGTTTTAARAGACATTACTACGTTCTCAGAGCTCATGGTGCAGTCGACGAYAGTGAACCTCAWACAGATAATGAAGGTAAAAGTAATAGATACTGCAAAGTACTTTCTGCTGTTCTTAATAGAAATCCTGCTTACTTTACCTTGAACAAAAAAAAACCTTAGTCAAGGGGAAATTCAGATAATGGTCAATCTCACTTCAACAAACTATCCAGTGTTATATGTGCTGCATTATCTGTTTTCGGACTTTACAACTTTATACATTTAACTTTTTAACAATTGATTTGTTTGTCTTGTCATAGGTGCCATTCTTGCTGTTTGTATGATTGGCTCTCAAAATATTCAAGAAACCCTGAGACAGTGGATTGGAAAACTTGAAGAACAATCCCCAAATCTTGCCAAAATGAAAGTTATTTTTAACCTGAAGAATGATGAACTTGATAAAAATGAAAAATCACAGTGACAATGGTATTGTGAACAATAAAAGTGACATCATGAATTCAATTAAATTGCTTGTTCTTTGCTGTCATGATATTCATCAYAAATAAGCCAACCYATTCCCACACAAACTACACTTGARTATCAGTTGTATACATGCACTTTATTGTGACAATTTCAAGCTCATTAATATTAACAAAACATATCCAGAAAAGTCCATCGTCAAGATAAGAGATTAATAAAAACAAATAACTGGTGYTACATAAAAATGARGTAGGGTATATAAAACTTATTTGCCYCTAACCCATGCACTCTTCATTGGCTGAGTAGAGGTTGGTCTGTAAATATTGATTGCTTTCACTCGAGGTGGTCCTGCCATTGGAAGAGATGGAAAATCAAGTTCATGCTTTGTTGTAGGGTCCATATTCTCTTTCTTTGGTTTATTTACTTGCTTGGGTTGGCTTGCTGGTTTAGTACCCCACGCAGGTTGCACAGGTGGTCGATTGACCCCATTACTTTGAATGGTCGTGCCATTATGTTTAGCAATGGCTTTTGAATCATTGTGCACAGCCAAGAGTTCTGATTGCCTATCAGAGTCTGGCAGAAGACTCACAAGTTCGTTAAAAATAAGAGTAAAATTAGACTCAAACAGAGCTATGCAATTGTCATAATACTCTTGAGCAGAGCAGTTTCCTTGTCTAAATTTGCCAGACAGRGTTTTAAATGCTGCAAACTTTTCTTTATCATTTCCTAACAGCATTTTCACATTTTCTATAAAAGCCTGATTCCTTGATAAAGTATTTTTGTTCACCRGTTGAATGTCCATTTTTGGAGTTTCAGTATTCTTTTTTGATTTAGATTCATCCTTTGTTTKAACTGTTGTTTCATTCTCAGTTTTTAAAGGTGGATACGGATTTTCTGATTTTTTAGAAATAGGTGGAGACTGTTTTTTAAAGCCAGGTGGAGGCTTTTTAGGTTTAGATGAGTTTGAAGTCTCTTTGACTATATTTCCAAACCCTGGAGGAGGGTGTACATGTGAGGGCTGAGTATTATTTGTACCCGCAAGACTTGGAAAGTCATCAAGACTATTGATATTACGTCCAGATATTTTCATGACAACAGGTTTTATTTGAGAGTTGTCTGTAGATCCTGAGAGYGATGGGAAATCTTTCTGATTCAGTTTTATTTGTATGTTTTCTTCTTTTACTGTATCTGTGTTTGAAGGAGAAGGAGTTCCGTTAATGTTACTACTTGCCAAGGAACTTTTAATTGCTTTCTGCAAATCAGCATCATCTTGTCTGTGAAAAGTAAATGAAGCACAGTGAAAAACAATTCATTCATCATTCAATTTCATTTTAATAAGTGACTTGATTGGATTTTGGGATTCCTGTGTCTCAGAACCTCTTACCACAAAGGTCAGCCATAAATTCAAGTTATATGTAACTAACAGTCACTATACAATGACTTACATAGCAATTTACAATAAAGAAATGTGCTAAAGTGTACCTGCTAGAATTGTTATTGCCTTTTCTTCTGGGCTGCTTGGATCTCTGTTCACTAGACCTCACTTCATTAAAATCTTGTCCAGTGATAGTCCGTCCAACAGATGAAGATTGTTGATTATATACCAGATCAACTTCCAGCTGTCTTGCTTGCCTAACCTGAGCCTTGGACATTTTTTGGGAGTGTTTGGATGTTCTATGGGCTTGGAAATCAATTTCTGTTCGAAAGACAGATGTAAACTGCTCATACTTGCACATATCTTCTTCACATAGAAAATGGTCGTCCTTGAAGTGGTTTCGTAGGTTGGGATAGTCTAAGAAGTACAGCTGTTTACCATCTTTTTCACAAATGTGACACCAAAAATGATTTTTACGAAGATGGCGATGAAGTTCATCATCATCAAGAAAACGATCCTCACAAAATCTACAGATCGGATGACCCTTGTGAGATGTATCATCAGAGTCTCCTATGCGACGATGGGTGGCTAGATCTGTACGGCTATARAGCTTCCACTCATGACTGAACTTGCGATGATGCTGRATGCAAATATTGCAGTAAAACAAAAGGTGCTCTTTCTTCATGTGTTCACGAAGTTGATCAAAGTTACTCTCAGGGGATCTATCWGGGCATTTGGCACACTTGTGTTGCAAGAGTTCCTTAACCTTGGTGCGAACTTCTTTGCTAGTGTAGCATAGGCCTAGCTTCTTGTCGACATAACCATTGTCTAATTCTTCCTGGATAGAAGACCATTTGCCGGGCCTCTTGATAAGCACAACCTGAAAAAGATTTTAAAGTTTATGCTTTTAATAAATTCTTCTACCAAAAGAAAAAAACTTAATACAACACAACAACAACAAAAATCCATATATAAACTTGAATTYGTTAATATTCTTTTTAATATACTATATTTAACTTATTGATGTTTTGTTTGATAAACCTTATTTGGGTAATGCCTTGGTATTTGTACTTATCATTCCGATTGCCGGGCACGAATTTATACTTTAATGTAACAAATCCAAGACTGAACACATGCATTAAGAAATAAATATAATATAAAGTACTAAGCCTTCTTACTTTATCAAGATCACTACGACAGACAGCACAATAATTTTCTTTTCCAAGAACTCTCATCCGTACACAGCAAACATGGCAAATGGGATGGTCGCAGTGACCAATGGCGAAATACTCAATTTCCTCACAACAAACAACACACAAACGACAAGAMTCTTTTCTGGAACGATTTCTAGGCATATTGAGATGAGTTTAACAGAGTGATAACCACAAAATGACCGCTAAATTCAGCGTTGAGAAAACCACACGGCTCCAAATGACTTCGAAGTTCAGCGAAGGAAGAACAAGTGATGACGTAAAGAATGGATTTCAYCACAGAGCGCAAACCGGAAATGACGTAAAAAGTAATTATCTCAGAAAATAGTGMTTTATTATCAAAAAATACAATTCAAGTTGATAGTCATATCAATCTAGARACATTTTTACAACTTTCAGGAAATTCAAAGATTAATAAAAACACGAAGAAAGTCATTTACCCCTCGAAATTTAGATTTACCCATAGCTCTTTGCGTGA